TGTATAGGTTCAATGAGAAAGCTGATCGATCTGCGCTACAGAAAGTGCCATAACAGTAGGCACACAGCAATAAAAATGAGCGATAAAATATCTGATCAATAGGGCATCAAGTTGAATAGCATACTTGTTCTCTGTGACTTGCATTTAAGCCTTTACAGGATTCGAATTCGTAACGTCACGTAATTAAGGTCAGTAAGTAGCTAGCTCCCTCGGGCTGCAGTAACCATGGGTTATAATTCCATCCGAGACTGGGAAGCGAGCATGAACCAACTCAGAATTCTAGCTTCATAGTTGGTTAGACATTCCTATTGGTGATAGGGATGCTAGAAGGCTTCGGAAATCACGTCTGCATGTGGTCGATTAGCAGCGAATCATCAAACAAAGTATAAACTACCAAATGATGTAGAGAATAACCTACCAGTACCGCGAAGCACATGTGGTCAAAATAGGTTTAAGGCCCTTCCATGGGCTCTCGACAAAGACAGGCAGGAAAATCACTAGATCATTGTGTTGATTCTTGACTCCGATTGACCATTTGAGCAATTCATTGTGACGAGGAAAACGGGTACCATTAGGCGCGGTGTAGCAAACAGACCCAGCCCGTGGCTTCTGTCTGCTTTCGACAGCTTTCTTGGTGGGCTCAGTAGGCTTGAGCGTCTGTGCTGCGGTGGGAGTCGGACCATTGAGGTTTTGTTTCTGCTGGCTTTCATCACTAGGCTTGGATGTCTTCGCAGGCTTGGATGTCTCCACCGGCTTGGGTGCTCTTCCTGCAGACAAATTCGAGATGTGAGGGTGGTGCAGCTCGTTAACCTCACCGGGTCTGCTTTTAGAGTTGTGCACAGAGATAGAAGCCTCTGGTGTTGTGGGACTAGAGGAGCTAGTACGTGATTTCTGTTGTGATTTGTGCGGAACGTTGGCAGGCTCAGCAACCGATTTGGATAACTTTCCATCACCCGCATTAATAGTGTTGAATCGATTGCTAGCGCTAACGGTAGATTGAGCGTAGTGGTCTAGAACATGCACCCATCGCCAACGCGTTAGAGAGGAACATACTGCCATGTAGAACGTTCATCCTGAATATTGAAAGTACTGTTTGAACTCACGAGGATGGAGAGTATTGCTCTTCGAACAAACCTGCTGGGAGCCTTTGGCGTTTGTTTTGGACTGCAGACAATGAATTGGTTTCTCAGCAGCGACCGTAGCAGCCGTCAAGCTTGCAGAATGTGGCAAGTGGTCAACCTTCTGTGCCGGGGCGTGGGGAGAAGGAGTGCATTCCTTGTCCGCGTTCTCTTCCTGGAAGGAGGCAGCGTGAGCTTTCCAATCTTCATACAAGGAAGAGGTGCGCAATTTAGAATGCCTGTGAGTGGGTATTCCCTGTTCTTTGACTGGAGCAGCCTGAGCAGGTCGAAAAACAGTCTGTTGGGACGGCACTTCGTAGTTCTTCAGAGTCTCGGGAGCCCATTCTTGCAGAAACTCATATTCCTTCTGTGACGGTGCTCGCTTCAGGATTTGCTTGGGTTGGACAGCAGCGGAAGGCATGATGAACTGCTGTAACATGTGCCTGTTTCTGGTTCTGTGAGGGGATCGGTGATGCAAGTGGAGAGGACTGATGAAAATAATGGTTGTCGAAGTGTTGAAGTAAGGTTGTACCCAAAATGGTGGAGGGTGGGGGGTTTTGAACCAGTGGCTAGAGGTCTAATATGTGAAGAAGCGAGAGAAATTGAGAGTAGTGAAGTGGTGGTTTCCTCACACGGCATAAGTAGGAACTTAGTGAATGATTTAAACATGGCAGGGAAGACCAGATAAACTCCAGGCTGCAAGTATCTTCCTCCTGACTGAAGGTGAAATAATTTTAGACTTATATTGACATTGTCACTTTGAATTATTCTACCTTCACTGTACACAAATATACCAGTCTCATTAGCTATAGCTCCTGCTGGCTCTATGCAAAAGTGTGTTCCTCCTGAATTGCACGGTTGATGACACGCACAAAACGTCCTACCTTATCGACGTCCTGCTTAGCTGTTTCAATTCCCAAAAGCACCTTCTTGACACCAACGCCGATAGTCTTACGTTCAGAGATGTCATCGAGACCCTCTAGTGCTTGCTCAATCTCCTGCGCATCGAAAGCTCCGGATTTCTCAAGGATATATCTCAACTCCTCGAATGTCATAACATTCGGAACCATGATATCCGCATTGAAGGAGTTGTAAACATCCAACTGCTTCAACACAGCTCTCTCCGTGGTAGTTGCCAGGACCAGGAGGCGTCGGCCCTTGCTAGGTTGCTTTCTCAAGCACACCATTAACGTTTGCAAGATGGCGTTGCTGAATCGAGGGCCAATAGGCACCCACTCAATAAGGCGCTCGATGTTGTCAACAACGACAACACTCGTACGACTTTTATAGGCATCATCGAAAATCTTGGTGATGTGCTGAATCTTGGCCATTTCACTATACCCGACCATGTCCTCGGGACTGATCAACTTGATGAAGGGGAAGCCGGAGTCGATGGCGATCCGAGCAGCAAGAGCAGTCTTTCCACTTGCGGTCGGGCCGTGCAACAAGACAGAGAACAGAGGCGAGGACTCGGCATTGCTGACTTGTTTCACGAAAAGCTCTCCTTCCTTAAGAATCTCATTAATGCCTGGGGAGAAGTGAATAATGCCGTACTGAATGCGACTTGACAGCTCTTCCTCGGAGACACCAAATGCCGGCTTGACTTCATCAAGTGCGTGGTGGAAATCAGCACGGTTGACCTTCATGTTTACAACATCATCACTGACGTTAGCCATCGTGCCAACTTTGATATGCCGAGAGAACGCGAATGAAGATGCGGACTTGACAAGACCAGCAATTTCAGCACCAGAAAAGTTCTTGGTCAGCTGGGCCAGTTCAGGCAGGTCGACATCATCGTCCATCACACTGTTGTCGCGCATCTTCTGGGTATGGATCTTGAGGATCTGAGCTCGGCCTTTCTCATCGGGAAGGGAGATTTCCATGTGAACTTCAAGACGACCAGGACGCAGGAGTGCTTCATCAATCATATCCTTTCGGTTAGTCATACCGATGAGTAGGATGTTGTTGAGCTGGTCGACACCATCAAGCTTCGAGAGCAGCTGGTTGACCACGCTATCTCCGACTCCAGTACCGCCACCAGCTCCACTACCACGCTGCTTACAGACAGCATCAAGCTCATCGAAGATGATGATATGAAGGCCACTCTCCTCACCCTTCTCCTTATACTCCTTCTCTGCATCCGCAAAGAGTTTTCGGATATTCTCTTCAGACTGACCGACGTACTTGTTGAGCACTTCTGGTCCATTGATGACCTTGGGTTCTCTAGCGTTCAACATCTTTCCAATTTGCCGAGCAATCAAAGTTTTACCTGTTCCAGGAGGACCATAGAGCAGTATACCCTTTACATGCTGAAGACCCAATTTCTCAACAAGCCCTGGGGGAAAGATTCGAGACGCGAAGGCACGACGGAAGATAGTGCTAAATTCTGAGTCGAGACCACCGATGCCCATATTCTCGAACTTGAAATCAGGTTGAATAATAGAGTTTGCGGCGGGCCGACGGTTTGAAGCCTTCAAATTGATACCGGTACGAGCGTCCTTGAAGAAGGTGATTTGAGAGTGTCTTGTAAGGATACCTCTGGCAATAGGGCTGGTCTCGACCTGTCCACCATTGGGGTCAGGGGTGCCGGAGGACAGATCAACGCGTTGAACGGTCTTGATTGTCAACAAAAGAGGGATGCTTCGGTGATCCATCAGGATCTTTTGACCGGGTGCGAATATTTGGTTTTCAAAATTCTAATTCTGTCAGTGACCGCAGTACAATTAAAGTTGGGACGGGGGAATTAACATACCTTAATCACGACGCTGGCCAGCTCATCCTGGTCATATGGAGTCTCGACCCTCTTCTTGCCAGCGAATCCTACTTCGATATCGGTTGATCCGACGTATGCCTGACCACCCTGGCCGAAGGGATCATAGATCTGCACTTGCACTGAGTCCGTGAAAGCGATACCAGCCCAAGTTCGCTGAGGATCCGACATGCTGATATGACCGGGTGGGAACCCATCCAGAGGACGCGCAGAGAGAACGTAAAGGTCGTTGATGAGAAGTAAAAGGTCGTGTCCATCGCGAGAGGGAGGGAAGTCCTGGGTTGAAACGGCGACTCTAAGAAAACTGTCAGAAGGTAGGACTTGACCTCTGATTGGCTCAAGTCATACAGATTTCCAAAGGTATACACATTGTCCGGGCTCTTTGCAGGCCGTAGCGTCCATGTTTGACCGGAGCTGGCGGGCTTCTCACTCCGTGGCGGCATGTGTGATGGGCTAGGTCTGCCCATAGACTGCGGTGGGGCTCCGTATCCTCCGGGACTAATAGACAGTATGAGTTAGCAAGTCATTGTTCGAAAGAAAGCCTTGCGTTCTTTATATGCGTACCCTGCAGCAGGATATCCACCCGGCTGGTTAGGGACCGTGTAGCCGTCACCACGCGAGGGGCGAGAGCCGAAAGGGTTGGGCACAGAAGGGTAATTATTGCGATTAAACATGTTTGCGCAAGAATGTAAGAGTTATTGCGCAGACAGCAGACGGGATATAGAAGTGGACAATGGCTGACTGTGCAGTTGAGCGCGGGGGAGGGGCGATTAGAGTGATGCTGCCGGCAGCTGTGGCACAAGTTCAACTAATATGGAATGAAGTTTCAACGGCATAGACAAAGTGAAGAATGACCTTGAACAGCTGACTTCAAAGTAAAGTGTTTGTACGGTGGGAGATTATCAAGTATGAGAGAATGAGGGTGGTAGAAGTGGCGGTTGTAAGTTGGAGGAAGCTCCTTTCGCGACACATGGACGTAACCGCCAGTTAAGGTACCGTTGCTTAGTCCATCGGCCCGGCGGACTTCCGTTTTCGCCGATCTCTATGACGACTCTTGTACTCGAGCAATCCATCTTCCCAGTTCAGTAGATACACTTGCTCATCGAACCAAGATGCCGCTGTGAGTCTTTCATCATCGTTTCTTCTCGTTTTTGGGTTGCTAACACTAATATGAATCCTCATGAATCAGACACCTCCTCGGCAAGAAGTCATGGAACGTCTACAACCCAGAGAATATCGCTCGCGTCCGGCGCGACGAGGCGCAGGCCAAAGCTCGGGAGGAAGAAGAGGAGCGTCGCATGCAGGAGGTCGATGCCGAGCGAAGAATCCAAATACTGCGCGGAGAACGACCCTCAACCCCCCCTCCACCGCCGCCGGAGCCTTCTGACTCTTTTGCCAACAAACACAAGTCTTACTCGGAAGATGCGGCGAGGCGCAGGAAAAGAAGACGACTGGCTGGGGAGAACGACACGGACAGAGATATCAGACTGGCCCAAGAGGATGCAAAGATAGCCCTAGCCACCCAGGACCAGCAGGCTCGTGTCCGTTCAAGCGATGCGCCCCTTCACGATAGCTCCGGGCACATTGACCTGTTTCCTCAGGGAAATGCCCGCAAACCAGTTGAGAAGAACGCGGAAGCTGAGAAGGAATCTGCTGAGAAGCAACGAAGACTCGAAGATCAATACACAATGCGCTTCTCCAATGCAGCGGGTTTCCGGCAATCGGTCAATCAAAATCCCTGGTATTCATCTTCCCGAAATGATACACAACCATCAGAATCCATGCCAAGCAAGGATGTCTGGGGCAATGAGGATCCTCGAAGGAGAGAACGGGAAAAGGCCAGGTTGGTTGCCAACGACCCTCTAGCAGCGATGAAGAAAGGTGTGCAACAGCTCCGGTCTGTTGAGCGCGAAAGGAATAGATGGAACGAGGAACGAAAACGAGAGCTTGAGGAAATGAAATCCACGGAAAGGCGCCGGTCGCATTCCCGAAGAAGGCGGTCACCGTCGCTAGATAGCCTTGAGGGCTTCAGGCTTGATGCTTCTTCAGATAGCCGTCAGAAACATCATGAAAGAAGCTCTCGTCGACATCATGATCGCAAGGACGGAAGTCGAGATCGCTCGCGTCATCGACATTCGCAGCCTAAGTCAGACTCTCATTCTCGTCGCCATGACCGCCATAGACGGGCGGAATCAAAAACTCGAGTGAGATGAATTAGAGCATTCACAATACGAGCAATGTGCATATTACTCGTCATTATACGATTATGGTGAGGGCAACTCTCCTCCCAGCATCTTCTACAGCCAGTTACGAGAGAAAGGTCACCGTGTTCAAGCTTGGAAGTCTTCGTGACCAACGCAAACACAAGTCTATTATTCTTTATCGCACTGAAGAGATTTTTGAGATTGAGATTTATAGAACCATGACCACCATGCGTGTTTAGCTCACTGCAAACTCCACAGCTGAGAGCCCTTCTCATTTTCAGTATCCCACTCAATACTGATGTCCAATGACCGGGATCCTGCCTCCTTCTTCTGGTAACCGACCTTACCAGTGATCGTTTGGCCTTTCTTAAGGGGGAGGGCCTTCTTCTTCTCCTGATCGATGAGGCAGATGGTTTGCTGCCAGTGTGTTTCAGTGCCGTGAGGCCCGGTGGTAAAAGCAACAATGCCCTTCTTCTGCATATCAGAGGGGAGTGCATCGTCCGCAAGGGGGGAGTCCCTGGAAGGCATGAAGAAGATGTCGAACCAGATAGCGAAACCATCAAGCGCATCAATGTCTTCGTTGAGAGTGACCTTGAACTCCTTCAAAAAGGACAGTTCTTCAACCGTTATGGTATGCAGCGGAAGAGGCAGAAAGACATCGGAATCTCCGGGGATCGATGACGGCGGTACACTTCGGACAAGCGCCTCATCGTAGATACCGGTAAGCATGCTCTTCATGTTGAAACCGTAGACACTCTTCCAGAATGTGATGTGCGACGAAATGAATTCGGAGTCCGCGAATGGGGCGATGCGGAGGGTAGCATGCGAAGGAGCCATTAGACCTCCGGGGGCAAGGTAGCGGTCCCGAGCATAGATTACCGAGTCGAACATGGCCTCAAAAAGAAGACCGTAACCCATCCACTCAGAGACGATAATATCCACCTGCGGGACGGGCAGTGTGACTTCCTCGATCTTGCCACGGATGCAGCTGGATTCTCAGATATTAGCTCATGTCTGTCGCAGTAGATGAAGGCGATCACTTACGTTATGATGTCCCCGAAGCCGTTCTCATAGATGATCTCCTTGGCTCTATCGATGATGTTCGAGTTGTCAACGGAGATGACCTTGCGAGCCCCAGCCTTGGCGCAGAACATGGACAGAATTCCGGTTCCGCAACCTACGTCCAGGACAACCTTATCCTTGAAAACATGCTTGTTCTCGTAGATGAAGTCCCGGTAAGCTTCAGTGCGAACAGTGTCTTTAAGCATGGACTCGTGAATGCCTGGCAATTATTTTGTTAGTTGGGAGATGGCGTATTGAGATACCTGGATTTCGAAGACTGTACCATTGTATGAGTAGGAAACGAAGTAATCCGCATCAGCCTCCTCAATCTTGCTGGTGGTTCGTCGTGCACTAGGAGCATTGGGGCTTGTTTTGAGCTTCTCATCCTCCTTGGAAAGTTGTTCTTCCATTGACTTCTGGACCGCGTCTCGATATTCGGAAAATTGTGTCTGAAGGCGCTCAAGGTCCTCCTGCAGCTCAATTACTCGCCTCTCGGCGTCCGTCTCCCCTGCAGCATCTGGGGCTTCTTCATCAATGTCATCCAAGCTGTACAGTAGAGCATCATCCTCCAGGACCGGCATCAAGTAGAGCTCGTCGTCAAATTTATCCTTGGAGGAGACATCGGGCGACATGTTGCCCTGCTTGACCTGGGAACGGATGTAGTTGACCAACTTGATAGTGCCCAAAAAGTCCAAGTCTGTATTGCGAATGAAGTAAAAGTTAGCCGTGTCACAATCAGAGCCTAAGAGCCATTCCACATCCAGGCTTCTACATCTCCACATCCAGGGATTCAACGCAGTGCCAATGCATATCAAGTGAGAACGCACCGAACTCCTTCCGAATTCCTCGCAGGTCAAAGTTGTGCTTGTCTTTGGTTTCTTTCAACATGGACAGCACGTCGGGGTAGACTTTGTCGGAGAATAGGCCGACAACTGGCTGGGTCTCGTCATCGGGCTCGACATCTTCCCATCCTTCCTCATTGCTGATGTCGGACTCCTCAGAAGAATAAGAGCGCACGTCGTCCTCGACGGGGACACGCTGCGATGCAGAAGCCGACGCAGACATGGCGATAATTGCGGGGTATTGCAATATTTTGCGCGGATGGCTCGACGGGTATAGAATCAGATTGTTTGAAATCTAATTTTCCAGAACCTGAGCCGATTGCGCTCTTAGCAAATCACGAATCCGTGATACGGATAAAGAGTTGAAAAGGGCGAGTTGGAGAAGTGTCAACTGAGAGAGGTGAGGGGTACAAATTTCCAGTTTGCTTGCGGCGGCCGGAAAAGACAAACCGTCGAAAAAAAAAATCGAAAAATCGAAAAATCGAAAATGAGCGGGACGGGCATTTGGTGCCCCGCCTGCCTGTTTATTATCAGGGGGCCCAGAACGGCGATAAGAGTCAATCAAACACGGAGGAGCCTGAGGCTTGGTCGGCTTCCCCGCCAACAGAAGCGTCACCGCCTCCCTCCAGAAGAGCTTCAGCTTCATCTCCAACTCACAGTCCCCTCCTCCACTCTGCGAACACAACAAACTCCCTCTTCAATTCAATCGCCTTCTTACTATCGATATCGAGTCTCGCACTCTTACCAAATTCTGGGTTTTGTTGTCTTGAGCTAAAACCGAGCAGTCGGTTCCCCCTGCACAGTGACCGCTCTTCCCCTCCCAGACGCTGTTTTGGTTCCGCCGGCAATACAAACAATCAAGCATGGCCTTCTTCTTCAACCGCGGTCGATCCCGTCAGCCTTCTGATCTTGTTCGGACAATTAAAGACTCCCTGGCGCGGGTTCGGGAGGACCCCTTGACTGCCAAGGTTGGTCTCCAATTTGTGTATCCTCCTCTGGTCTCGAGAGCAGTTCCGCGCCAGACTGTTCTGACTTCCGCGACCCCGAATGCTTGCTGACTGCACTAACATGTAGGATGCGGAAAAGCCACTCTCTCAGATGAAACTGATCGTCCAAGGTACTCAAGGTTCGTGTGCTCGCATGAAATTGCACGGGGCTTGTTACCCTTGCCTCCTAAATACTTCTTTAGGGTCTCCAGAAACCCCGGCTGATGTGGTCCTTTGCAGATGTCGAGGTATCCCCTGAACAGGTTCAAAATCTAGTTCACGCAGCTCTGCAGGAGGATTTGCTTTATGACCTAGCTCGATGTCTTCATCTCCTTCCCTTTGAAGCTCGAAAGGACACCCAGGCCATCTTTTCGCATATGCTTCGTTTCAGGCCTGCCAGTTCGAGCTCAAATCAAAATGACCCTCCGGTCATCTCTTATATAGTCCATAACCGACCCGAGGTTATCATTGAATTGTGCAAGGGTTATGAGCACAGCGAAAGTGCTATGCCATGCGGCATTATCCTGCGAGAAGCCTTGAAGTTTGACGTCATCGCGGCTATCATCTTGTATGATCAATCAGGCGAAGGAGAGCCAGCTATCAAACTCACAGAAGTTCAGCCCGGCGTCCCCCAAGATGGGACTGGGATCTTTTGGCGTTTTTTCTACTGGATAGACCGCGGCAGTTTCGAGCTGAGTGCCGATTCCTTCACAACCTTCCGGGTAACAATTGTCTATCAAATCTGCTGGCGATAACAAGAGTACTAACACGACCACTCTAGGACATATTGACCCGCCACAAAACTCTAGTAACAGGCTACTTGTCGACTAACTTTGATCGGTTCTTTGCGAAATTCAACGAGGTACTTGTGAACTCCAGCTCATATGTGACCAAGCGGCAGAGCATCAAGCTTCTAGGCGAGATCTTGCTCGATCGGGCCAATTACAATGTCATGATGGCCTATGTGGAGAGCGGTGACAATCTGAAGCTCTGCATGAAGCTACTGCGAGACGATCGCAAGATGGTCCAGTACGAAGGATTCCACGTGTTCAAAGTAAGGCAGACCGGCCCCTCCTGGCCGACGAACGACGGCATGCTGACGAAGAATGTATCGCAGGTATTTGTTGCGAACCCAAACAAATCTGTAGCCGTACAGCGAATTCTCATCAACAACCGTGACCGCCTTTTGAGATTCTTACCTCGCTTCCTGGAGGATCGGACTGAAGATGATCAATTCACAGATGAGAAGAGCTTCTTGGTTCGTCAGATTGAACTTCTCCCCAATGAGCCGATTGAACCAACACGCTCTACCCGTGAGCCGTCCAGGTCCGGCATCAACACAGCTGCCGTGGCTTGAACAATTAGACTGTGAGCCTGTCATCTACCACTTTATCTTTTGCTGTGGACAATCTTTGGCCCCTGCCGGGTCTTTTTGTTTTTGTTTTTGTTTTTGTTTTTTTTTTCTTCCCCCCGCCCCCGCATCTACGCTCCCTTCTTTGGTGAACTCTTTGAGCTTGGTGCGAAGGGCTGCATACATTGAATGTATGCTATGGTTGTGTCGTGTTTGCATGGAAGGTCAGCAGGCATCTGACCTTGGCGGAGTTACAACGGTTGGGTCATTTATGGAAGACTATGTGGAAATGACGAGCAAGGCGGATGACAGAAGGAGGCAATGGACAGAGCGGGCGATGGGCGATGAGATTAATGTATAAAGGCTGTAGTGAATCCTTGCATTGAGGCAGGATGCGACCTGCCGCAAGAAGCCGAGTTCTAGTAAATATTATAGCCACTGAGGTGGATCTGAGTCTTCAATGAAGAAGAAGCCGGAGCTTAGAGCCCGCTGATTGCATCACAGACATGGCGACAATTCTGGAGCTCCTGGCTGGTTGGAAAAAATTCTCACTTCCAAGGGATGGGAGATGAAGATGTGGGAGAAAGTGGATATCAACATCCCTCTGTTCTCCCTTTCTTGCCCAGCCAGAGGCACACACACACACATACACACACACACACACTTCAGTGGCTGCGCAAGGAGATGACACGGCAGAGGAAGCTGAGGAGCCCTTTAAACTCAAGGCAGAGAGATATTGTAGATATGAGTAGATCTAAGCTTGATCTGAGGTGGTGCGTGCGCCCCCGACGGAATAAGTCGAGTGAACTATAGGCTCAATGATAGTTGTTGTGGGTGAAGCAGAGGTTCAATCAAACCATCCATCAGCCACTAAATGCCTCCGCTGTTCTTCTCTTTCTTTGTTCTCTATTCCTCTCTCATTCCCATTGCAACCAGCTTCAATTCAATTCAATTCAATTCAATTCAGAAATAGTGTTTGTGGTCGGGACCACGCAAAATCAACTGTGAAGATCCACAGTTGCGTGGCCCTCCCGAGGAGTTAAAGCAGACTAAAAATTGTATAGTGGATCATCGGCCTCCTCGTCGCCGCCCTCCTCTTTCTTCTCTTGCATCTCCTCTCCTCCCAGTATGTTTGTTCTTTTCCTTCTCCATCTCCTTCTACTTCCTCCCTGGTTTTTGCGCCAGCCCTGCTGTGCGCATTGTTCGTCTTGGTCTCCTTCTCTGTATTGGCTGAATGCGCTACCTTGTTTTCCCCTTCAATGAGGCGAGCATTGCAGAGTAAGGTAGTGTCGCTAGCTAACAAGAGGTGAGCGAGTGCGCGCGCGCATTGCTCGACTACTACTTCTTTACTTTTTTACTATTACTTATTTACTGGCTGAGGGCCTTTTTTTTTCCTTTTTCCCTCCCCTCCTCCCCTCCTCTTCCCCCTTGGCTAATACTTCCGTTCCATCCTCCCTCGACGCAGACCAGATAGCACTGGGCAGCGCAGCGAGTTTATCTCCCCTTTAGCCACACACATTCCGTGGAATTCCACCTCTTTTCACCCCTTCTCTATCTCCCCCGACTTTCAATTCCTCCCTGGATTGCTGAAGCTTGTCCTGCCGCCAAGCATCCTTCCAGGAACTGCAAGCAACGCCCGCCCCAGATTTCACTCCTTCTCTCTCTTCCGTCGCTTTGTTGCCGACTGCCATGATTTACCGCGCAAGAGACCTGATTTCCCCCCGTTTGTCGCTCATTTCCCGTCCTCAGGTCTCATAAGCTTAATCTCTATTTTATTTTTACGATTTCTATAATCATCAATTCCATTGAAGTTCCAACTGCGCCTCCGGTTCTAATTCAGTCCCTATCCGCTCCTTCATCTGCGATCCAAATCCGAATACTACATACAATCAATCAATCAATCAATCAATCAATCAATCGACCGCCCCGCCGGCCGCTGCCTCTCTTGGCTAACGTGTACGAACACAAACACAACCACATCTACATCCACATACACATACCCAGCTTCGGCTGCAAGATCTTTCCTAAAAGAACAAAAACGCTACAAATTAATAGAGATAATAGGGCGCAAAGTCATGCCGGGATAATGGTGAATAATCGGCCCGTTTCTGTACCTTCCGCCGTGATGTCCGAGTCGACCTCGGCAATCCAGAGTCTCCCCTACGATAAGACTGTTGCTGCGACAGTCCCAGTGACACTTCGATCTGCGTCGTTCCCCCAACCGAGTAATCAATCCTTCTGCTCAGAGGACCGATCGAATTCATCCAGTACCTCCTCCGGTGCCCCCATTGAACAAGCCCCACCCGCCCTATCACAACGGACCACTAGACGTGGCAGAAACAGGTTAACCAGCCTACCAGCTGCCGGGGCTTCGACCGTGAGCTTGCGGTCATTGCGCAGTATACCCAGCATTATTGTTGATGATACGGCGTCGCGTCCCAGTTCGCGTCCAGGATCTCGCCCAGGATCTCGTCCCGGGTCGCGCTGGTCGGAACGTAGATGGGGTGGCTTAAGGGGTAGAAAGTCAGGGGATTTCGATCGGGATGAAGATGACACACCGCCTGTCCCTCCTATCCAAGCCCCGTTCAACGGAATCCCCTTGGACATCCCGAACGCCGCACTCGACGGTCTAGGACCGCAATCAATGAGGTTTTCCAAGCGTGGCAGTCTCATCAAGGAAGAGGAAAGACGTCAGCTCCAACAGCAAATCCAGCAGGCGGAGGCAAAACAACAAAGAATCGCGCAGATGGAAGGGGCCGACCAGCAATTACAGGAGCATGTGCTGGAAGACGAGAGCGATACGGCTCTGCCAGCCATGACTTCGCCGGAATTACATGTCGCGGACGAAGAACCTTTGGACTCCCCTACGAGGCGCTCCAAACCGCAAGCGACGCTTAGGGTGCGGCACAGCGCTATTGCCAGCAGAGCCATCTCTGCAGATGAAGACATGTTGTCGCGACGAGTGCGCTTAATGTATGAGAAGGGCGACGAGAATGTGACGGACTCGGAGGTAGCAAGATCCATGGCCGCGGAGCACGGCGTTCTGTGGGAAGACACAGCTCCCCCGAGCATGGAATGCTCGCGTCTGTCGGGACCCAGCGTGTCCG